TCAAGGTTGTGTTAATCTGTGCCACCTTATCTGTTGGTTTTGTATCTATGCTTGGCTTTTTCATGTACTCGATTGGATGAAGCATTTGAGGGGATGTTCGAGGGTGGAGCCTATGCCTACTAGCGTTTTCGCATGGGGCGCGAATCTAGGTTGACGAAGCGGGTTGACCGTTATGGCTGATGCATGGGTGCATTGGGCTCACAGTTGTTAATGGCTTCTGTGCGCTGGGCTTGGGCCCATTAAACCTACTTCCAAAAACTGTGTGCATTGGGCCTTTTGGGCTTGCGCCTTCCTCTGGGTTGAGCATTTGGGAGATTTCAAGGTCTGCTCTTGTTCTTGTGAGCATCCTTTAGTACGGATCTAGGCATTCGTCATGGGTTTCTGCGTGTTGTGGACTAAGCCATTACGGCTTAGGGTCCACAATTGTTGTTGTTGTTGCAGTGGCATTGATGGCAGTCCATAGTTGTGGGTTGCGTTGGTTGTTGCCGCTCTAGCTCCATTGACTGTTCCATGTCTGGATATGTGGGACATCTTGTTCGTTGTGGTTTTGAAATTTCCTACCAAGGTATTCTTTCCCTATTGACTGATCAAGAAACCTCGACGTAACATAAATTTCGAAGAATGGTGCGAGAGCCTTCTTCAAGTATTTAAATCATGCTCTCAATGAAAGAACTAATTTGTGATAGCAAAAATCTGTTGTCTTCAGTCTTGACGAATTTCTACCTACAAAATAGTAAACACCTTTGATCAATGATCAAAGCCTCACGCGCTTACGAGGTGGGAAGGGGTTTGGCCAATGGATCTTTAATACCTAAGTTAGTAACTCTAAAATGAGTGAGTGTTTAAAGCTTAAGTGCGTAGTAAAAGCTTACCAGTAAATGGTGTAGGTTAAGCATTCATAGGTAGGTGGCCGGCTATGGTAGGGTTTTTCCTTTTGTGTGGCAACTTCCAATTGGCCAAGATGAGTCATCCATAGAATGGATGAGGAAAAAAATAATTCTAAGATATCAAGTATGTGATAATATCTTAAAATTGTCAGGTAAGTATCCTTGATTGATAGAGATGGAAATTCTTTACTTGTTTGAGTTACCCCTCAATCAGCAATGTATTAAGTATAGAATTTGGCGATTAATCTTATATTTAATTAATGTCTTTGACTTTTCCATGCCACGAGCATGGTAGCTTAGTGATGTCGTAGGCAGTTGCTCGAGCCTCTAGATATGTTGAACCGCGCATGATAATATTTGTGAGCTCTGCCCATTTAATGAGGTCACTCTCATCTTTTGATTTTTTTGGGATTAATTTTTGCTCCGCAATTGAGTGTCATCTAAAAAAATAGTAGTTAAATTAATAGTGCATATGAAAGAGTATGTAGTGTAACAAATTGTAACTTCATGATAGTAAAGTGTCAATTTTAAAAGACAAAAACGAAACCACCACATACCCCAAACCACAAGGGTGCAAAATGTAATTTATCTTAAAATAAATAACATTCTTAATTTTATATTGTGTTGAGCGATATCGTTACGTTAGATAGTTAATTAACGAGAGGAAAATCAAGAAGAATCAAACCCATACCATATGCATGACTAGAATTACTTTCCGCAACTACGATCAAATACCACCTCAAACTTTTATAAGTTGCCGAATTTTTATTTGCTGAAAACAACTTAATGCTCGATAACGTTCAAGTAAAGTCTATTGGATTAGCAACCACCCCCCACCAACCAACAAAACAATGTATGTACATATATTAGAAAACGACCATGCTCTCTTATCATGAACTAATACACATTGCCTTTCTTTTGTTGGAAAAAGAAGAAGAAGAAGATCTATATTGTAATTTTCGAGTCATTTAGTATGGTTTGAAATTAGGCATTAATATTAAAGTAATTAATTGTAAAACAAAATATTTTCAAATCTAAGCCCTTATGCACCATGGTGTAAGTCAACGTCTCCAATTAATTTTCTCCTATAGTGTAATCTCAAATCAAATTGAGGACTCGTCTGGAAATGTTTTTAAAATGATTGAAAATATCTTTAGATGAAATGTTTTTTGAGTCTAAAAGCACTTCTTGAAATGCTTTTTACAAAAAAAACATAACTAATGCTTCTTGCAAAAACTATTTCAACTATTGTAAAAGCAATTCTAAACGAATTTCAAGTAATTAAGATTGAGACCAATACAGTACAAATCCATATCCCTAGTGATTAGTGAATAGCACCGATTAACTTAATTATGGTTAACTTTTTAACCAAACATAAACTGGAGTGGTTAGTTTAGAAGGGATTGGGGACGATGAACACATACAAGCATTTACATTCACCGCCGCATGGAGTCGAAACGACGTCAGCCGCTGACTTTTCTTTGTTTATTGCTTTGTCGGTCTCTATGTACCGCCTCCAAATCGATGAGCTGTGGAAAATTGAGATGCACATCATGACGTACACATGTGTTGAACTTCGTGTCAGCAGCGGCTCGTCACCGCTGCGCGCTCTCTCTCTCTCTCTCCCCTCCTTTCCTCCGACTCCAGTGGTCTCCACGCGCTTCAAATTCTTGCAGACGAAAACCGCGGAGCCTTTCCCGTCGCGGTTTTCTGTTCCCTGGTTCTGTGGCTTTGGCGGTTAGTTTTGGAAACTTTCATCATGCGTTCTGCTAGCGCGTCGCATATAGGTGCACATCATTTACACTATAAATATGAATTGTCTTCTTTATCTTATTGCACAATTATTATCAAATACAAAATGTAAAGGAGCAAATAATAAAAGAAATCGAAAGGGAAGAGAAGCTCACACTATGGTTGTGAAGGGTAATAAAGTGAAGGCGATGTGGGACTGTATGATTTTCAACGTGATTTGTGTGGAGCGAGAAATAATCCAAAAAATCATAGAGTTAACATGTGAACTTTTACCCACAAGTAATGAGAATGTCCTTATTAAGCTGGCAAGATCCTTTCAAAGTCGTTTAATCTTCGAGAAGATCTAAGTTGTTGACTACGACTTCTCCCAGCTCTCTTGCTCACGGCAAGTAGAAAATTCAAGGGAATTAAAGACATGATTAGTTATTAATTTAAAAGAAAACTAACGAAAAGTCCTCAAAAACTTTAATTTTAATCAAAAGGACAAAATAAAGGTGTAAGTGAATAGTACCAAGAGTGATTTTTTAGGCTTAAAATGTCCTTAATGTTAAAAGTGAACAATACTATGAGTGTTTCATTAAAACTCCCTTAATTTACACCTTCTTTTTAAGCTTTCCTTATTGAATATCAACTCAATCAAGTAAGGAATCACAACCAATACACAAAGAGTCAAGGGTCAGAGAACGCACTTTGAATGCTCGCTTAGAATCCCAAATTCTCAAAACCGACCCTAAATATAGCTGGAATCTCGTTACCTTGTAATATTATCAATTAATCTTTCTTTTTCTTCGAAGCCTATGCCTCATTGACAACCAAAAAAAAAGTATTCCCTTATCTTATTCTTTTCTCCCACATGATCTAGACACGTAAGAGCCAACAATTGAGTTTTGCACCGTCGGATTGCATCTATTTTTGGGTGTCGTCCGTTGGATTGCAAAAAAATTCATCACGTACATATATATGGATTGGTCGGACATTTAGAAATAAGTTAGCTTCTAATGTGTCTTTTGAACCATAATCTAAACCTCTTTTTTCATGCATCATTTAAATTTCGCATATACTTTGTATCTAGATTATAGCTTTTTACTTTTCTATTAAAAAATAGTTGAGCGTATTGAACGAAATATCTTTACTGATTACATTGCTCGTCTCTCCTTAAATCACAAAACTTTTATGGACTTGAGCTCATGTTCAAAGGCATACCCACAACCTCGAACTGAAATGATATATGCGTGACACCTAACTGCCAGCTGCCATTAATATAAATTTACATAGAAATTTACAGATTGCGCATCAACGAGAACTGTTGGTAGCGAGAGCCGAACCTTGGTAGGGTGATACAAAATCATAGTTTGTATATCTTGTAAGCTTGTTACTTTGTATATCTTGTACATACAAATCATAGTTTGAGACATACAAAACATACGTAAGAAATTACAAAAACAAAAGGTTACATATGTGTTTACTTGTATAACTAATAAATCACAAAAGCAAGTAATAAATAAATCATGATACACGTGTTTGGTTCGAGGTTGTTTCAAGTGTTGACATCGTTGATTTTCCACTTTGACGGTTTCAAAGTTTGATTTTTCTAGGGTTTGGTCTGGGGAATGTTGGGTGGAGACTGGAGGAGAGGTCGAGTCCAGTTGCTTTCTCGTAACATTTCCAACCGAGAATATGCTCTATCATATTCGGCGGCCCCTCCGCTGGTGGCTGTGCTCGTGTGCCGTTTCATGCACGTGCCACTAATCACGTGGAAGGCCACTGCATTTGCTTTGCAGTTTGCATGTTTGTCTGCGTCTAATTTTGTGGGACAAAAGCTCATCGACCCTACCAAGCATATGCATCACAAGAATGGTCCCACGAAATCTTGTCGCTAGAAAAAATTCCATCATTTATGGTAAAGGTGAAGAATACAGCCGCCTCATTAGGAAGCTTGGGGAACTGAGTTACGATTAGGTCAGGTTACGAGTTTGATTCATTTTGATGTAATATTAGTACGGTTTAGTAGAGAATGGTAGTTTCTGATTTTGCTTCTTGTTGGTTTGAGGAGCCTCCACATTTAATCTAGGACGCCTTCTTCGAAGATTATATATCCTTATAATGCTTTCAATAAAACCTCTATCGTTTCACTTCAAAGATAAAAAATAATAGTACAATTTGTAGAGCTACCAGAAGTTTAACTAGAACTATATGTACGAACCAAAACTTGAAAAAATTGACTAACAAGTCACTATATGTGTTAGCATTGTGCTTATGTCCAAAATTACATCTTTTAATTTTATTTCTCTAAAAAAAAAACCGCCTCTACTCCTTAGAAAATAAGAGAAATTTTTGTGTGTACCGTCAGGTAGTGTTATACTCTTATTTGTCAACAATAATATTAATGTGTCCCACTTATATTAATGAAAAGAACAGTTGTAACATGAGATTAATAACATCACTCAATAAAATAGTGTGTGTGGGATCGAATTAAGCATTTAAGAAAGATGGAAATCAAAGCAATATGAAAAAGGGTGACAACTATATTACATAAATAAGGAAAGAAATGGAAGAAAGTGGAGGAGCACTTGAATTTTAAATTTTGAGCGAGCGAAAGATGAGACTGAGAGACCAGCAGCGTACGGAGCCAAAGTGGAAAGTGGAAAGGAAGGCTCACGTAAAAAGTAAAAGAGGGAGAAGATGAGAGAGTGGGGTTTTGTCTGCCTCCACAATCATCCTTTTTCCATCACTTTTGATTCTCCCTCTAATGCTTCTATTGATGGGTTAGGGCGTGCCACGTTCTTTCCATTTTTGCTACCTTTTCTATAACGCACTTTACACAGATGTTTTTTTTAGTCTCTCACACACTCCTGTTTAATCACGTATTCGTTTCTGTTCGATTATTCAATTCAACAGCTAGAAATAAAAAAAGATGTGTGTGAGAAGCTAAAAAAGGTGAATGAATCTATCTCCACCTGAAGTTTCGTGTTCAAGTGGTTAACAGGTTTATTGCTGCACCTGACGTCTTGTGTTCAAAACCGCCTTCTTTCAGTATGGTTCAAAACCCCCAAAGCAAAAGATGTTTCAGTCAAAGAATCAAAGTTTGTACTAATAAACTGATTAATAGGGACAGGATGACAATAATTACAATCAACAACGTGCTTATGAGTTTTGATCAAGTCAAAAGAATATGGGAATCTTATTACCTTTAACTTACAATCTCAACCAGTGTTACAGCTGCAAACACCAGAAAAAGAACGCCTCCGACGTACGCAATGGCCTGCAGAAGGAAGTAGAAAACGACTGTCATCCATTCGTCTGCTGTGTGCTTAAACATAATTCATCCATGAAAGAAATTACTTAGAGTACAAGTCATATTGAAGAGCAATACGATGATTTTTCCATTTGGACACAATGGAAAATGTATCGTTAGCAGTGGGGTTCGATTGGGAAGGATAAGAAAATTCCTTTTTAACCCATGTAGGCCGACTGCTAGCGATTCAACCTGGGAAAGTGTCAAGGCATAAAACTGATATGGTGAATGAATGAGCTAGTCCAACCAAACAACCTTTTTTAAAAAGCATGCAGAGAAGGATGCTGTTTACTCATTTTCGGTTGCCACAGAATTTTGATGCTTATATTCTATGCCTACAGATTGTGACTAAAAGGAATTCCACTGGCTGTATTCCACATTGTTCAACCGATTCAATGCACTATTTATTTTCTACTAAAAAGGAGAATAGCGGAAGTAAAAAAAACCGAGACAAGAAGTTTTGAAAGTACTTTGCAATCTAGATAGGTTGGGGATAATTTCGGACCAATTCAGGACATGTTTAATCATATTCGCTACCTTTATGTGAAGTTTCATGTCTTACGATAGTTTGAAATATTTGATAAGTTGTCGACACCAAACGACATAATCACGTCATTTCCATTGAACAAGAAAGGTTGGAAACATAATTGCATGATGGTTCTGCTTAACGAAATCAATTTCAGAGGATTCACATTGGCTAATGAGTAAAAAGGTGAAAAGTTCGGTGTTACCTTCTCTGATAAGAATGTGCCCAGTAAAGAACCCCCCAAAACAGCAAGCTGCACCCAAAAAAAGAAAAGAGAAAATGGAACAATAGCTTAGGTCCACAAATAAGTAACAAAGATGAGTCAAAGGAGAAAGTGAAAAGTTAATCTAAATGACAAGGGACAAGATTGATGTCAATTGATTTGCTGTAAATTGCACATAGTTGATTAACCGCGACATCAAAGAGCACCTCCAAAACGGCCAATATCTTCTTGTCCATAATAAAAATTAGCAGTAAAAGAAACATTACCAAAGTTGCAACACCGTGACCAGCTAGCGCTCCCCCGATGACTCCAAGGGGTGAAGAGGCTGCAGCAAGTGCTGCATATGAAGCAAAACATTGTCCTATTAAGGTAAATTATCAAAGGGGGACTGTATGTACAAAATAGTGGGACCTATGTGCCCTGGCTCCATACAAACTTAGATGCAAATGTATTATATAATCTATGATCCAGACTTTCTCACCATCTTAAAATAGCATTTTATAGCAGTGTGATAAGCCGTTAAACTTAAACATACCAGAAACAAAATTGGAACTAAATAAGCAAGAGCACATCACACGTCAGATGAATTCACTTCCATATTCCTATAAGGACATGAAGTTTGACACATTCATTATCTTATCTTCTACTTGACTATTACACGTTGCATGTTGCAAGGAATTAATTCATTTTGTGTTTTGGTAAATGACAATATCGTCTTTCAAATTCATCGGAAATTGGGTAACAAATCGACATATTAGCCAATCTCAGCACAAAATGCTAGCATCATCGTTGGCCATATAAGATTAACTTGTACTCTCTTCAGGCAGAAAGAAAGGAAGTGTGGTCATCCATTAGCGGTATAACTGACTCCACAATCTGAAATATAAAAAGTAATGTGTGATGAGCTTAAAATGAATTTCACTTACCGCTTTTCTTATTTTCTGTATGTTCATTTTTGGGTATGAAAATTCAACATTTTCTTGGCTGTTACTCGACATTTACATTTTTCAAAGAGTTAGTTTTTGTTCTTTCATTAATTGTGAATAGAAAAAATTTCCTTCAAATTAATTGAAAGTTGAACTATACACATTAGCCATTCTCAAAATGCCAACTCCATCCGAATAAGCTATTTAATTTTAACATCTTGTTACTCTTCCTAGGCTAAAAGAAAAGGAAATCAAAGAGTGATCTTTTGTTAGGGGAAGAAATATCTCAAAACTTTGAAGCATATACGATCCAACTCACCGATTGTGGAGAAAAATGATTTGTCTCCCCATTCAGCAACAAAAACTAGAAGGAAGGTGCTAGCGGCAGTGCTAGCAGCAGCTAGTATTCCGGAACCATTTCCTGAAAACTCTGAAACAGCTAGCTCTGCCTAATTCAAGAATGCATACATGACAACAAGATTAACTATTACAAAGAAAAATGTAGCTTCAAAAGGAAAAAAAGATGGAATAAAAAAGAAAAGAAAAACAGTCTTGATAAGTCCATTATTTACCTCCCTCTGTTCATCTTCTGCTTTCATACCATCACTTGAGGTGGCATCACGCAAAGTTGAAACTCCAAAGTAAACCTGAAATTACGTATGTTTAATAGTTATGGAGCAGTTTCAAGATTTAGTGGTTATGCCAGCACAAAAAGGAAAAAGGGATGCTTATAAGCAAGCTTCGTAGTTCTATTGTTCTCGCTAAGAATCAAAGCATTAAATTACCAAGAGCAAAACTGCAGCAATATCATCAATGGGTAGATCAGTCTCGCCAAATCTGCACTCAAAAGACCAAATCAGAGTGACACACAACAAATGACAATATAATTAAGAGATACAAATTGTATAGACATATCCAAGTGATATATACTAGTAGTCAGATGACCTAAGAATTATATGAATACCAAGAAATCGGAACAAAAGCATCAAGTTACGTGTAGCATTTGGCAATTACCTACCACAAGTTAATTTAACCAAGTATCTCATCTTCTTAGCTTCTCTTTATTACCAGAAAAGATTTATTACTGCTGTGACCCAGATAATATACCACGTGAAACCATTTAAGCTATGTTTGGTACTACACCACTCAATAGCATAATTTTATAAAGAACAATTAACAGATACAACGGTCAAGACCTACTGAAATGAAAATCTCAAATACCTGAATGGTAGGATTTCATCGACATAGTGAAAAGTTCGTCCAAGAACAACAGATATGATGGTCATTGCCCTGTAAAACAATTCTACAATTAAGGATGTACTGCAACCACAAAACAGTAGTTCTCGATAATATAGATCACTTGTATAAGGAATGTGTGTGTGTGTGTGTGTGTGTGTGTTATTCGTAACTACCATACTGAAAGAAAATATTTTTGGCTCAAAACACAATTACTTGGTTAATACGATTTGAAATGCTATGTATTGCTATTAGCTTTAAAAAGCATCAGTTTGCCATGTGGATTTCATACTTAATCTAAAAGTTACAGCTTGACCTATGCTCACACATTATTGGAAATGTTCACACAACGCTTTTCCAATAATCTAGTAAACAGAAGTTGATCGTGCAAAAGAACATTTGTATCACACCATTCACAAACAGAATAACATACGCAAGTGCGCCAAAAGTCCCAATAAAAACAACTGGAGCTGAATTCCTAGCTGCTAAAAGCGCCTGCAGAAAACAGAAAAATTCAAAATTATGCATGATCAAAGCATTCTATCTTTACGTAACACTAAAAAAACTTATATGCACATGTTAATTATAAAGAAAAATGGATAACATTAGAGAAAGAACAAATCAACTATGAGAGTTCCTGTGGAATTAGGTTCATCCCCAAGGCAATGCTTGTGTGAGGTACTTCTAAGTTCTAAGAGATTGAGGCCAAATTAGTAAGGAATGGATTACAAAATGTTATAAGGCGGGATTAGAAATGTACCACTTGCGAATTACAAAGACATGCGAGAGGGTTTTGCAAATGACCTACATGGAAGGAGTCATTCACAAATACCTCTTTCATGTCATTGTAATGCTCATATGGTGAATTTATAATTCCTCCTATTTAACGTTTTTTACTTGGCCTAAATTCCTTGGGACTTGGAAATCCCTCACCCAAACATACCCAAAGTCATTAGCATCTCTCTCTTCTAACTTTACCTTTTTCGCTAGACTTGGACAATATTTGATAAGACAATTGGGAAATACATAAGGAAGATGAAAATCTCTCTGATGCGTAGAAAAATGTTCATATGGAGTCTACAAAAATAGATCAATCGCCATATGCACAAGTTTACCCTGTCCACTAAGATCTTGACATTGAAGTACTACCGGAGTATGAAACGTTTAGCTCTTACCGCAATAAAGAAGGTCTTGTCCCCTAGTTCCGAGAAAAAGATGAGCAAAAATGCCTGCAACAGAAGGAAAACGCACATTTATATTTACTTGTCATCAGAGATGCATGTTAATAAATGGTTATCCTAATTTTGGTAAAAAAGAAAGAAAGAAGGAAAACGTGTACACTAGAAATTATCCTAAATAGAAAGCTCAAGGGCACTGAAATATAATGAAGTCATCAAAGCCTAACAGAAGATTGTTCTCTCTAATTTAACACGATGTGCTGACTACAATTCAGGCTTCACTTACAAAAACAAAAATGCCAGGTTACAGAAGTTAGAGGGAGATTTTCCTAACTGAAGCAAAACCTGTGCTAAGATCGCCAAGGTTCCCCAAAAAAGGAATTGAGGGCAACCCACTTGCAAGATCAGAAACAGCAAATGCAGGTTCAGAGCCTTGAAGTGCAAGAAATCCACACAGCATGATAGCCTTCCAAAAATGAGAGAATGGATTATAAGAAATGTGCATCTCTCTGTCCATGTGACTATCCGCTTTTGAGTTTTCCTTTGCAAGGACTATATCTAAAGCCTCGTAATCATCCACAACATGAAATGGTTCTGTGGTCACCCGACATTTCTTGCGATTAAGGTACTGTAACTCCTGCATCAAAATCAGTAGTTTCATTTAATATTTGCATATCTTCTGCAACATCTACTAGAAAATTATGCTCAGAGAACAAAAAGATACACTTTTGTTTCTTTCAAGGTTTTAAATGATGCATGAAGATTCATTACAAGGCCATCTGGATGTTCAGAAGTTCGTAAAAGACGTCCAATCCATTCCTCGGAGGTGTCTGCCGCATTCCACTTTCTTGAACACCTGAAACACAAGAATCCTGCTTTCATTTTACAATTCAGTTCCATTTTTCACCCACATTTTAAAAAAAGCAACTTTTGTTTGCATTCTTATTGATGAAAGTATATGCAATGCCAGTGGCATTTATTAATTAGAACTTAGAACCAAACATATAACTTGTACCGCAAACAACACAGTGGCACGGCTAGTCGTCTACCATATCAGCAATTAAGCCAAAAAAAATCTTCCAACAACATTTTCCATATGAATTTCATAAGTTTCGCATTTCCATTTTTTTTTTCCAGCCCGTTTGAGTAAGAAAAGGACAAATTATCGGATTTCTCTACGCCAAAATTCAAGAACAAGGCAAAAATTTCCAACAAAAAGAGAAACCAATCCATAATTTCTATTCATAATTCGAAAAACTTTTCGAAAAAATGAGATGGGAGTTGATGTATTGGAGTCACCTGGATGAAACGAGAGTTAGGTTTGGGAGAGAAAGCTTGGAAATGAGCTTCTTCGAGCGCAATTTGAAAGAAAGCAAGTAACAGGATGAACATAACAATGGCGGCTTTGGAGGTTTTGGAAATGGCGAAGGCGGCGAGTGCACCCCCAAAACGCTGTCCGAGAGAGTTATGCTCCGCATTCTGGAACTCTCTCTCTCTCTCTCCTCTCTTTCTCTCCCTAAAAGTGAAAGCTTTTTGGTGTTTGGGGTTGCAAGTGTTGACAGTTTGAGACTCAAGTGGGAAAGATAAGCAATGGGAGGAGAGGGTGGACGACGAAGCGCCAAGGCATCCTTTACCGTTTTATCTGCTTTATTGAAATTGCATTTTACCCCCGCTATTGTCTCGAAATTATGTTGTGAAACCTGCATACTTTTTTTTTTACATATTTTTCTTGCACATTTAAAGATCGTTTGATAATTATTTTGTTTTTACGTTTTATGTTAGTGATATGCATGAAATATTTTGAGTTGCAATATTTAATTTCAGTTTACTTTCTTTATTTCTTCCCCTTTCTCCCATCACTCTTCTTCATCCTCCCTTTCTCATAAACTTGTTATATAGGAATCGAACTCGAACAGATCCTCTGAGAAGATGGAGAAAGTCTTCAAGCTTCCCTCAGAAAACATATAGTCAGGCGACCTTCCTTGAAGATGATCAACATAGCCCACCTTATAGAAGTCGACTTGAGCTTAGGCGAGAGCACTTTCATGACCTGCCTTCTCGCTCTTCAACTGCTCATTCGCCTTAGCAAAGTCTGCATTGACGTTGTAGTAGCCGAGCGAGCCTTGGCAGCTAGTACAACTTCAGCTTTCCTGGCATCATGGATAGCAATCCTATCAATTGTTGATATGGCCTTGATATTTTGTCATGGCAGATTTTTGAAATTTTAGGTGATTATTGATGCAAAACAATGATACATGGATGCTATAAAGATTTTTTTACGTGAGTAATGTTGGAGAAATTAAATTTTCGTTAAAAAAAGATTAGTACAGATTTGCGTTCAGCAGAATATTTTTTTTTTATTTTGTTTTTTCTAAATAATAATATTAATAATGCATTTCAAATTCGTTTTTAGTAAATATTGAACGAATGAAAAATCACTATGCCGTATTAGTAGTAACCGACAGGAAAATGGATAGTTTAAATTATTGATTTAGCAACAGTGCTATTCAAGCCAATTTCCCAATAGAGAAACAAAAGCAAGCACCGCTGCTCCAACTCAGCGAATCTCTCTCCCTCTCTCTCAAGTCTGAACCAGTGGAAGCTCCTGCAATTCGACAATGAACAGGTACGCTTTGATCATCAAAACGACAGCGTTCCAATCATTATGTGCCCTAGCCTCCGTCCGGTCCCGAATTCCCACAATTTCACGCCTTTTTCCATTCGTTTTTGCTGATATGCGATTAGGCTCTGCAAATTAAGGTTCAAATATGTTGGGATTTAGTCTAATTGTGATTATTTCTCATAACACAGCTTGATTATCAGAAGAAATCTTGCTGAAAGTATCAAAAGATTGAAGCTTTCTCAAAGGGCTTTGTGTACGGACGCAGCAGCAAAAGTTTCCAGCTCCAATGGTGCCCAACCCGGCAATGTAAATCTCTTGAACTTCACCCATTACATGTTATTCATATTTTGCTACATGGGTTTTCTTTTTCTGGCCATATATCGGACCATTACATGTATTTACCCAGTAATGTGGATTAACTTGCAAGAATAGTAATGTTTCCCCATTGCCGGGTTTGATGATTCCTTTTAAAATTCACAGGGCCGTGTGGCGCAGCCGATTTTTTCGAATAAAAGCAATCCGTATGACATTGCTATTGTTGGAGGAGGGATGGTTGGCATGGCTCTTGCTTGTTCCTTGGGTAGGTAGTGTTTTTTGCTTGTTTTAGACTTTTTTAATAACTTCATTGTTGTAGATGATTATGTACTTTCTTGTGTTAGAGATTCAGGGAATAAGTTTTTTAACTAAATCAAATTGCAATTACGGTTGATATCATGTCGCCAGTTCTTATTAGCTCCTTCACCCGGCATTATTCCCGCTTTGTTACAAGTTGAAGGCCAGTTGAACAGTTATTGAGTTTTTCTTTCGTATTGACTTACTTAACATGTATGATTCATCTAATGTGGATTCTCATATTTACAGCAGATAGACTGACAACTTTTACATGAGAGACTTTTTGAAAGGGTTTGGTGGAGCACCATAGTGTGTGCGTAAATACGTGACTTCACTCGGTTAATATTACTTAGGTTTAGTTCAGGTCAAAAGAGATTAGAAGAAAGCTTGTGAATTAGTTTGTGAATTAGTTTGTGATGTTGTGCTTTTTGTTGCTCAAGCTAAATAGTCTAATAATAAATTCATCTTTAGTAGGAGAAGATTTTTGTTGAATTATTTTGTGATGTAGCACATTTCTTCACTGATACACTAAAAATTTCAATCTATTGTCTTATTCTTGTGCTGCTTTAGCAAAAATGCCGTTGACAAAGCACTTGAAAGTTGCCATCATTGATAGCAATCCCGCAGTATCAAATGGGCTTAGCATCAAGAAAGAAGACCCCCCTGATCCAAGGGTCAGTACAGTAACACCTGTGACCATATCTCTCTTCAAAGGTATTGAACTCGACATATTTGTTGTTATTTGTATGTGCCAGCATCAATTTCTCATGTTCCCCACTAGCAATCATGTTAAGTGAGCTCAAATAAGGTGAGATGTACCTTGTATTCCCCATTTGTAGGAATGATTGACATACTTATTTATTTTTATTCTAACGAGGCCGGATTGCGCTTCTTTCTTGGGTAGTCAGAAACAAATATTAAACTTGTTATGGAATTTCAATAACAGTTGTACTTTACAGATATTGGCGCTTGGAAATATGTGGAACAGAATAGACATGCATATTTTGATCAAATGCAGGTGACTGACTTTTCCCAATTTCATAGCACTTTAGTAGTTACCATTCTGTTTGTGTTCCCTTGTTAGCTTACTGTATTTCAGATTTGATTCAAATTAATAAACCTTTCACTACTGAAAAATCATGATCTCAAATCACTAGTATGCATATCTAATTGTTCAGTTTTCCCTCGTTAGTTTCCTTTTATACCTTTTACACATCTTTATTGTAGTTGATCATGAGAAACAAATTGATAGATGGTCTCAGACCAGACTTGTTTGTTTTAGTCCCATTGCAAACTCTACTGTCTGATCATTGACATGGAATAATGGGCAGCCGAAACTGATAGATGAGACATTGTGCGAACGAGCGCATTTTGTTGAAATAATACAACTTGACCAATGGTTAGGGGTTTAGGATGGGACCACAGTAATTACTCATGGCTAGTGCGTCAGTTAATAATCATTATGTACTTAATAATTTCTCTCACAGCAAATTTGGTCTTGTCAACTAAAAGGGAGATGGCCCAGTTTGAGAGAGTTGTGCTTCAATATTGAAAGGTTTGGTAATTTGAAAGATGTGCTGTATGTAATTTGATTAATTTTATACAAGGCTCATTATTATGTACAAGCTTGACTGATTTGATGTTTTTAAATAAATTTTTTGTTCTGAGCTTCTCTTTTTGTTTTTACATCAATAGTTTGACTCCTAATGGCCTTTTATAGTGAATTTATATTTTCTTCCAACTCTGTTTTGTTGCATCCTACTCTCACTGTGGTTTCGTCTTAAAGTGAATTACATTGCTCTTTAAATATTTCCATCTAGCTGACGCGATATGATGGATGATTGGTGGAGGTTGAATTTAGTTAAAGACTTATCTATTCTTCTATTATCTCTTGTAGGTTTGGGACTATACTGGCTTAGGATATACAAGGTACGATGCAAGAGATGTACATAAAGATTCTCTGGGGTAAGAAGTAGATGATTTTTTTTCTTTTTGCAATTCATTTATTAGCATTACTAGGAGGATCTGATGCTGATTTCGACTTATGATCAGGTGTGTAGTGGAGAATAAAGTACTGCACAGTTCTCTATTGTCATGTATGCAGGTATCTAGCAAAGTTGAATGGTTAATTTTTTTTCTTTTATTTTATTACAAACAAAACCTGTAATCACTCGTGTAATTTCTTGGTTCATATTGTTCTTGTTTTGTCTCTTTATTTTTGGTGGCTGAGTTCTCATATGTATTGTTATCCATCCGTTTTCCTTGAAGATATCATTTCCTGACATTTTTTTTCCTGTTAAAAAGTTTTTCTAAACCACCGTCCATTCTTCTCTTAATTCTTTCTCGTGTTTTTGAGAAATGGCATGTGTGTTGTTTTCATTTATTGCATGCAAGTCTTAATACTTTCTATTTGCTAATAAGGTTTAACTTTAACAGAATACAGATTTCCAGAAGACTATCTACCCTTCCAGATTGTCCACAATGACTTTACAGCCAAGGAACTTATCCATGGGGGTGGGAAGCACATCATCTGGATTGAATGAGCAGGGGAACTTAGCAAAGCTTGATCTAATTGACGGCAACAGTCTATATGCAAAGTTGGTGGTAATTTTCAGTTGCATTTGAAGAATTCTATTTCCCCTTCAAATGATAATAAGATCACAGAAACGTCTAAAGTCATAATGGCAAAGTTTCAGAAAATACTGTAATTAGTAAATTATGGATTGGCATCAACTATCAAGTCACATAGTCTTGCTGCAGGTTGGAGCTGATGGGTCCAAGTCACGTGTTAGAGAGTTGGCAGGATTTAAGACAACCGGATGGAGTTACTCACAGAATGCAATCATTTGTACTGTTGAACATAGTGTGGAAAACCGATGTGCATGGCAACGCTTTCTACCTGCTGGGCCAATTGCACTTTTGCCAATAGGTGATAATTTCAGCAATATTGTTTGGACTATGAAACCGAAAGAAGCAACTGACCGTAAATTAAAGGCTGAGGATGAATTTGTGAAAGATGTCAATTATGCTCTGGATTATGGATTTGGTCCACATCCTGGGTCAAGCACCTCAGGAGGTGGAGGCATATTTTCTTTGTTTACAAACGCGAATTTATCTGCCAACGATTGCTTCAAGGTTCCACCGAAAGTGTTGAAGTTGGTGTCTGAAAGAATGGTGTTTCCATTGTCTTTGATGCATGCCAACAACTACGCGTCAAAGCATGTGGTTCTAATCGGCGATGCAGCACATACCGTTCACCCTTTGGCTGGACAAGGGGTGAATTTGGGTTTTGGAGACGCGTTTGCTCTTTCAAGAATCATTTCGGAGGGAATTGCAGTGGGAAGAGATATTGCCGAGGTAGGTGAATTTTCTTTGAGTCTTTTATTTATCAAAATTCATGGGTTGAAGCGACTCATTTGACGAATCTCTAAACTTATGCAGGTATCGTTGTTGAAGAAATACGAAGCAGAGCGGAAATCAGCAAATGTCACAATGATGGCAATCCTGGACGGGTTCCAGAAGGCTTACTCCGTTGATTTCGGTCCTTTAAATGTTATTCGGGCAGCTGCATTCAATGGAGCACAGTACTTCCCACCCCTTAAGAGGAGTATTATTTCATACGCATCAGGGGATCAAAGATTGCCAATTTTCTCTTAGAGACGGATGTAAATATTGTGAGACGTTTTCATTTTTTCCGTCAGTCTCGTAAAAGAATAAATGTTCTTGTCAACAATCTCATGCCTCGGGGATTCTTGAACCATTTTCTTTCCAAGTAAAACTTACAACTCGTATTCCGAGTTGTGCAATTTCAGAAACTCAAATTCAAAAACACGAGCGCCATAAACAAATCTGTCACGCTCGTACAGATTTACGTCTATGCAAAGCCGGAATGCAAGAAATCGCCGGACCATCGAAGCATCGCTGGTCTTGTTTTCATGAGTGGATCAACACCAGCAAAGTTGATGTTTCCCTTGCGACTAATTAAGTTATAAACACTCTCTTAATCCAAATTAAAGCATCCACAATTCAGAAAAAAACATACAAGTTGGAAAAACATCCTCACATCACACTTTGTTATATACACACACTCACTTGTTCCAAACTCCAAAAAATGGCTACAATGCTCCATCATTTTTCTGCAATCCATGCTATCTGCAATTTTTGGGAAAACATTAGGGAACTAGGTGGTTAAAAGATTTGTACTTAAACTTCATTATAGATCCTACACGTTTAAGTAATTACAATGTATGTGAGAGTAAGTGCCCGTTGGTTCTACTCATACGAACTTTTGTTATAAGCATGCATGAATTTGTAAATGCAAGTACTTCCTGAAGAAGCACTACAAATCGCACTAAAAAGTGATTTTAACCACTCCAAAAGTGCCCCGAACAATCACTAAGCACAGAATTAGTAGATCCAAAGAACAATATCCTTCAAATAAATCTAATCGAAAAATTAGTATGAGAACCATTTGGATTTAGAATTACTAACATAAAAAGGCATATAGCAAAATTAGTGTCAGAAGAACCACAGGTTAACACATTCAGTTGAAGAGATCAAGAACTAGAATATTGTTACCTAGTTAGCAGCCGATTAGATAATTTGCCCATTAAGTATAATCTTCGGAACATGAGCGATTTTGTGCAAATCCACACCTTCTTCCCGTTTGCATCTTCTGGTTAGAGGACAGTTGTTAATCTCCAACTCTCTCAATGCCGTGAGGCGATGCATGCCCTTTGGAAAATCAGACAGAAGGGAACAGTCTCTAATCTTTATTTGTTGGAGAAAAGTGAGGTTTTCGAACCACTCCGGGAGTAACTCGAGATAAGTACAATATCCCAAATGCAACGTTTTCAGAGTGTTGCAGACTCTCTTGAAGCCAATGCGGCAACTCCTCCAGTTTTGAACCTACAATCCAAAACGATTGAAGACCTCGGATGCCTTCTCCCGACCTTGTCAGATCAAGAACACTACAATTATAGATAGCCAAATTCTCCAATGCAGTCATATAACATGACAGAGACTTCATATTTTGACAGTTCAGCATAACCAATGTTCGAAGATTAGTCAGGGTTCGCACTCCTTCCCCGAAGGATATAAGATATTTGCACGCAGTGATGTATAAAGTTCGAAGAGAGGTGAGACGTCCAATTACTTTGGGCAAATGGTGCTGATTTATCGTTAAAGCTAAGTACCTGAGGCTAATCAGGTTTCCCATGTTTTCGGGTAACTCCTTGATTTTTCCACAGTTTATAAGCAGTAAGGTCTGCACATGCTGCAGCTTGCAAATGGAATCAGGAAGCTTCTTTATCCGCTGATTATACGACAGGTCGAGGTATCTCAAGTGACTCAAGTTACCAATGGAACTAGGCAGTGTTGGATTTAAGTCAACAATCTGTGATAATTTATATATGCTAATAAATAATAAATGCAATAGAAACTAACAGAATATAAACTCGAATATGAATTATAAAACAGACAACTTGAAGATCGAGGCTTGCGTACCGCAATGTCCTTGAAACAGAAATTTCGTCCCTACTCTGTGCTTGTAGTTCTACGGACGTCTGTTCCACCAGGATTCAACGATCTAAGTCAGAAATTCCAGCACCGGAAAATAGACTTCTGGCGAATATTAATGTGGTTCTCTCAGTAAGGATGTTTAAGATTGCAGGAGGAGATTTATGATTTTTCTATATTGTAAATGCCATGCAGATGGATGTATATATAATGTGATTGTACCTGTTCGCAACAGGTATAAGGAAGGGATGCAACTGTTGGGAGACATCTGCTGAAATGGGTGTTTTTGTTTCTACGTTTTCACACTTCAGACTTCATCTGAAAAGATGAGTCTGTTGGAAAAAATAAATAAATATTAATTTAAATTCGAAATTAAAAATAATTAATTAATTCCGAAAATAATTAATTAATTTAATTATATATTAATTAAAATTAATTATATATTAATTACCAAATAATTAATACACCCCAAAGCCCAACCCCAAGGGTGAGCCTAATTTTAGTCTCCAGGCCTATTACTCCAATTACTTTCTTTAAAGGATAAAGCCTTATAAAGTGATAAACTCTTTTGGGAATGGCCAATGTGGGACAAGGAAATTTCTACTCAAACTTCCAACAGGCAGTACCTTGAGGGTCAAGTTACTAAGATCTAGAAGCCGTAGGTAGTTGAACATTGAGATGCATCTCTTCAAAAAAGATTGATTGTTGACACCAACTTCTGTAGGAAGATATTCACTATTCCAGTCTGGAATTAGAATGGTTCGCAATTTCTCAAAAGGGAGTAAGAATTCTGGGTCTTCTTCTTTATCCTTGGACAATTCCTTTTGAGATATTGACACATGCTGGATCATCGTGGAAGATTCACCAGGACGAAAATTTAGAGATGAGTATTCTAGCTGTGCTGTTGAGGTTGCTAAATCATGAACTAGATCGTGCATTCTAAACCGTACAAAAAGGAAATTATCTTCCTCAATCTGAAAGAAATATCTAGAACATAATTTCCTAATGTAGTCCAGACCGATATCTTCAAGTTCTTGGTATCCTTTGGAGGATTGAACAAAGCCTTGAGCCATCCACAACGGGATCAATTCTGAACTTCGAAATATGTAGTCCTTTGGGAATAGTGAACAAAAGGCAAAACAAGGTTTCAAGTAAATTGGCAATGCATCGTAGCTTAACTTGAGTGCAGGTAAAATGCCGTCGCTTCCTTGTTCCAAATTCCATATGTCACTATCTCTTACATATGACCAATAACGTTCTTCCTTATTCGAGTAGAGTAGGCCCCCTAGGGTATACAAGGCAAGGGGAACCCCTCCACACTTTTCACAATATCTTCCCCTATTTTCATCAAGTTCGGATGGTTTTGCTCTTCTCTTCTTGCAAATGCCACTTTTACGAATATGGTCATGCAATCTGAGAGGGGAAGAACTTTCAACAGATGCATGTGTGCATCCCCCATAAGCAAAGCTACTGATTCATTGCGCGTTGTTACAATAATTTTACGCCCGCAAGCTGCAACATTTAACAAAGATTTTAAATCAATCCATTTTTTGACTGTTATTCCCATTGGCCCCTTGTCCCAGACATCATCCAACACCAGCAAAAGTTTTTTACCAGTCAAAGCACGTCGCAACTTCATTTGCATCTGTTCAATACTTTCATCACCACATTTTTGGCTGGTTGCCGCAGTAACAATTTCGCTAAGCAATCTTTTACTATCAAAATCGTCTGATACGCAAACCCATATTCTTAACTCAAAGTTGGTCACTACCCTGTTATCATTATACACCAATTTAGCAAGCGTAGTCTTTCCCAATCCTCCTAATCCATTAATTGAAATAACAGAAACATTCTCCTCATCACCTGGACCAGTGTGAGTGTCCTTAAAGAGTTGGACGACAATCTCTTCTTTTTCGCTCTCTCTCCCGATAACATCTGGGGCGTGCACAAAAGAGTGGGTCTCCCTCTCCATGTGCATGCCATGCCAATCTACAGATCGTTCGGCGAGATTGAATTGAGCTTTTGCAGCTGCAATCACCTAACCTTTCTCTAATATCCTTGACTCTATGGCCCATTTTGTAGCTTGACACGAATGAATTTCGACCTGAAAAGAAGTTGCGTACCTTTCCTTTGATGGTGTCACTCCCAGTCCCAAGGCCGAGCACCTGCATCCGCAACTTTTGAAACTCGAATTCATCGAGGACGTCGTCTATATCATAGCTAACATCTTTCAGCTTTCCCAACCAATCAGTGAGAAGGTGATCCTTCCGCTGTTTTTCCTCCTCGAGAAGAACTTTTGCGATGGTTGATAGGGTTTCCCGAAGTTTGTTCAACTCATATTTGACATCAAATGCCAAAAACAATTCTTGGTAAGCATGGGAAGCAAGCCTTTCCAACACTCTCTCTGCAACGTTATAGGAGAATGACTCCATTAGTTATTCAGGAGGAAACAAGAGAGATGTTTTGAAGGAGGTAAACACACACACACAAGCAAGCTCTTTGCTTTTTCTTTGTGTTTGCTGGTGAGCAAGCTGTACTTGAAGTCACCGATAGCAATTTCAAGGAAACATACTCGGAACCCAGAAAACAAATGCTACAAACACGCCATACAAAATACAAAATGTAAAATCCAATTGACCAAAACACTAGTGTGATGCAGGAGAGAGGGCTCAACCGAGTGGGGCGGTCGTCTCTTCTTTTATGCAACTTGCGTCATGCAAATGTGATCAATTATGTGGTTACATATGCCTTGCCAGGTCCTCTTCGTAGAGTAGTCTACTTGAATTCTTATCTTTGTACTATGGTTCTAAAAGCGCTAATCGAGTTGTGGGTTGGAGCCTAGCGCTTAAGCGGTTAGGCGATAGTCTAGGCAGGCTAGACGGTTTTAAGTATATTTATTATATATTATATAAATTAACTTAAATCATAACATTTTGAATGTTTAGTAATTTAAATTAATTAATTCATAGGTATAAAATAATAAGTCTATTGAATATAATATATGGATGGCCCGCATGAATATTTTGTTACTATTCATCCAAAGAAAAATCAGATGGATTAAGAAAAACGGATGTGTTACTATTCAGACACAATATTTCACTATTCATTTGAGGAAAATTTGTAAAGTGAATAATATTGCTATAGTAATCTTTTGTCTATAAAATAAGAGCATACAAAGAAAGGAAGTAGGGCTGGGTTCGATTCAAATTGGTTCGGTTTTTTTTCCAAAATTGAAATCGAACCGAAATTTCAGTTTGGTTTGGTTCATTTTTTTTAGTTTTATTTTTTTCGGTTTGATTTCAGTCTGGTTCGGTTTTTTTTTGTGATTTTTTTTTTAATCTGGATATTGGTGCTTCTGCCTCAAATGAATACGAATTGGAGCAACTCACAATGATGGCTGCATCAATATCTGCAATACGAATAGAAACATTTGTAAATCCTAAAGTCCTTAATGTTGAATAATCCTTCAAATGGGGTAACAAGAGTACAACAAATCTTCAACATGAGTTCTAACCAATCCCTCCTTGAAAATCTGCCCCCAACAATCATCAAACAATAATCATAAAGAAATATCCTTTAAGAACCAAAACTTGAAAACATATCTTCAATACGAACTTCCAACACAAACCCACAAATAACTAACAAGCCCACAACACAAAAATTGAACAAATCTGCAATACGAACCAAAACAATAACCCATAAATGTACACCAAAATTTCAGTCTCCTTCTCTGAAATTTACCCTAAAAAAAAAAACATAAATCGACAAAATAAATAAGAGAGATTGGATATCTTACCCTGGAGTGAGAAGATCGAGAAACGGAGAGAGAAGAATGGAGAAATTGGAGGCAGGGACGTGGAAGGAGTTTGGAAGCAGGGGACGAGAGAGAGAAGAGGGGAATGAAAATAAATAAGATAATATCTACGAGTTTCGGCTAGGGTTTTGTTGATTTCTAGTTCCACAAAAGACTATAGATTTCAATATTTATAAATAGTTTAGTCATACAATCATAACAAAACAAAACCTGTTGCCAAGAAGAGCGCATGGGTTCAAACCCTCATGCCTCCAGGATTTCGGATAATTTTAATAATTTTTATGATTTTTTATAATTAAAATATTATAAAAAATAATTATATATATATACATACATCGGTTCAGTTCGGTCCGATTTGGTTTCCAGACATAAAAAATCGAAACCGAACTGAAATTCGGTTCGGTTTGGTTTGACAGTTTCTGTTCGGTTTTTTTTCGATCTTGGTTAGGTTTTCGGTCCCTTTTTTCGGTTTTCAATTTTTCAAACCCACCCTTATAACAAAGAAGTGAGAAAGAAAAGAAAGAGATGGGAGAAAAACATATAGAGGAAAGAAAGAGGAGTTATGGAGGAAAGGAAGAGAAGTGGAAAGAAGAAAAATGTGGAAGAAATTACCAGTGAATTAGGCTAGAGAAAAAAGAGAAAATAGTGAGAGTTATTTTGTACTTCTATTATTTTAGATAATAAAAGAAAGTACACGACTGCCTCAAGGACGTACGCACACTTGCCGAACCTCGTAGATATTGTCTTATTTATTTTATTCCACTGCACACATATCATCGACTTTACAACAAAGTCAAGACATTTTAAATGATTAGTATTTAATTACTAAAAATAAAAATAAAAAACCCCACGTAGTGGGTTGGGTGGTTCTTTAAAATTTTAAAATCAAAGGCTTGTTTTGTTAAAAGAAAAAAAAATCATAAGCTTTGATGAGGGTTATCCCTATTTCATAAGAAATGACACGTGTGAGGTCTCCTTCACCCCCACTTTTCTCACATCAAGCAGGATTCCCAAACGGTGTGTCATTTTTACTCCTTGTAAAGTGGACAATATATTTTTGGTTTCCTCTTCTTCCTTGGGAAGAGGAAAGCATTATAACTTTGGGTTTTTTTTTTCCTTTTCCTATTCTTCTTCTTATCCGATTACTCTGTAAATTCTCATCTTCTTTTTGTGTTTCGTTTCCTCTTCTTCTGTTTTGCTATGTAATTCTCCTTCTTCGATGGAGTGCAGAGAGAAAGGGAGTCACAACGGCGAGAGAGAGGAAGTCTTTGTGCAGAGAGAGAGAGGGAGTCGAAGTGGCTATAGTGTTTTCAATTCTGGGTTTTATTTGAACTTTCTATAAACTCTTCACTCCTCCGCCTAATGATTTGGACCATATCGCATCGGCACAACGACACCCAATGCTAGGCAGTGTCTAGGCCGATTTTTTGAACACTGTTGTGTAGAGTGGTAACACAACGTGACAATGTTATGATTATACTAATGAATTTGTAATTGTTTTGGGGTTGGTGTTTTGTTAGAAGATGTTTTGTGTTTGCATAGCTTTAAAGAAATCTAATAACTTTCACTTCACAACGTCAAAATTCTTCTTTAAAGGATAAGTTACATTTTGGGTTGTTTTATACACACTTCATAATGTTATGAATCCACCCCACATCCAAAATTCCTCAAAAATTTCAACTTTGTCCCTCGTATTTCTGAAGCCACCCCACCCCAAAAACAAAAAGAAACACCAAACATCTCCATTCCATGAGTTCCTATCCCTAAACCCCATCAACATCGCATCTTCGACCTCTCTCATTCTCTCCCTAACACCCTGAGTCCCAACACCCAAACTCACCAACCCTATTTCCAAAGAAAATCAAAGAAAATAAAAAAGAATGTAATAGTCCTTCACTTCAATTAAGCAATGAAAATCCCCAAATTTTAGAGGTTTTCTACTCATAAAGAAGTCAAATCAACAAGCACTAGTAAAGAATGTAAGTAGAGAATGTAAGTAAAGAATGTAAGTAGGGATCGTTTTGGATCGAGGATTAGGAGGGCTTGCTAATAACCTCTAAACTGACTTAAAAACATATAAACAAAGTTAAAAACACTAAACTAGACTCAAAGAACTCAAAATAAATTCAAAAGACTCAAAACAAGCTAAAAACGCTCAAATCTGCCTAAAAACACAAATTGGGCAGATTTGGACTCTAACCACACTTTTGGACGAATTTTGGTTTTAACTTGGTTCGAAACACTTAAAAACACAAACTAAATCAGTTTCTAACTAATATGACTTAACAAGGTAAAGGGGTTTTGGTTTTGAAGAATTTGAAAACAAAACAAGTAAATTAAAGAACTAATGAAATCTGCATGTATTTGAGTAAATTGAATGGATGGAAGGCTAGCTAGGAGGTTCTTCTCCACACATGACACACTTGCAAACAAAACGATTTCTAGTTGCTTTTCAATAAACTACGAATTCTCAATGCCCCAGATTAACTGTGAATTGCACTAATTAACCCTCAGATTTTCCTAATTTCATTGAATTGGATGATTGCATACAACAACCCAAAACATTCCCCACAGGTTCCCTACATGAATTGCATAATAGAGATACAAGCAAGAATCATTAAGTTTTATGAAAATCATAAGCATTGATGAAACACTTGTAACTATGAATTGCATGAAACTTATGACAAGAATTTACTTAGCACGGTTGTGACGAGAAACCTTCACTACTTGCGAATATAAGTTCATAACGATTAGGTAAAACTCCCTTATATCCTAGCATTAGATTTATGCATGAAAATTAAGCGTGCACTCTCAACCAACATACACAAATCAGTTTTAATTCAAATGGATAAGTAAATTGAAATCACAATTTATGAATCACAACTGAAAGTAATCAAATCATATTGCAAGCATGAACATGGTTTCAAATTCCCCCTAGCTAAGGGGGTTTAGTTCCTCATACTCACAAAGCAAAGATAAACAAATTTAGACATTGAAAGCAAGAATGAAGTACACCTAAAATGCTCCAAAGTTTCAAGCTTGAAATGCCAAGGACATTCGTTTTCACCACCTTGTTGCAGCACAAGTTTATAAGGATGTGTATGGATATATGGAAAGGTTATGAATGTATTTAGGATTGGTGAATGTCTCGGCCAAGGGAAGGGAGTGTATGGAGTTGTGTTTTGAGATATATGGGAAATAAATGGATGAATGGATGGTGCTCACGACCAAGGAATGAAAGTCTAAGTGTATGGAGTTGTGAGATGTGAATGTAGTGTCTTTTGATGGATTTCTCTGTTCTTTGTTATGGTGAAGGGTGGATGTATTTATAGGCTAGGGAGAGGACCACCATCTAATTAAGGTGGTAATGGTGTATGTTGTGGTAATGAGTGGATGTAATGGGTGCAGTGGGTGAGTGTTGTGGTAATGAGTGGATGTAATGGGTGGATGTAATGGGTGTAGTGTGTGAGTGTTGTGGTAATGAGTGGATGTAATGGGTGTAGTGGATGGAGCTCACGGCAAGGGGATGGAAGGGAATGAATTTGTGAGATGTCATGTTTTATTGTGGTGCGGTTTGTGTATGTTTAAGGAGAAGGGATGGCTGAATGTTAAAGGAGA